CTGTGGTGCTGACTGAAGGGAAGCATTGTCAATGCCAAGAATTAGATTCTCTTGAATGGAAAAGCAGCGTTGCACAAGACAGAGATTGCTGGGACCGTGGGGAGGGAGAAGGACAGTAGGGAGGTCCAAAAGGTTTGCCAAACGGCTGTGGAGCACACATTGTGCCAGTCCAGAAACCACCTGCCAAATGAAAGCTTCAGCCTCTCTTACTCACTGTCGCTTTGCCATAATGAATGCATTTTTGATTAGCTTTCCTGATTGCCTGTTCTCCATGTATACAGCAGAAGACAGAATAGCAGGGTCTGGGGATTAGGGTTAAGATTTTAGAGGCAAAAAGGTTGTGGGAAGCTTTCATTATCTTTTCAATTTTTTTCTCTCATCACCTGCTCCTTGGCGTGCAATGAGATAACGGTGGCTTTTTCTTTTTTCTCTGACAACAACCGGGAGGCCAGAACCTTGCCCCCACCTCCATCAGTGCTGTTGCTGGGAAATAAAAGAAGTGCCAGAGGGACAAGCAGCCACACTAAAGCTGCCGTGTACTCTACACTGAGTTTTTGTAGCATTTAACTCTCCCCTCAACTGCAGGAGATGAATGTCTTTGCATATATTGAAAAAGAAATTATGCTTTTGATTTCCTAGATACATTATAAGTATTTACCAAGAGACGAGAATTAGGTGGGGAAATACGTTTTAGGCTCAAAAGGCAGTGTCTCTAAAGATTTAGTGCCATTTGGATAGGAACACAAACTTTGGAAAGGAAAAATACAAGTTATCAATTTTAGAATGATTTCCTCCCTGGTGCTATGAGAGCTGGAATTCAATGTTCATAATCAAATGAATCTTTAAAAAAATACATCGGTATGGCAATTTTTATATTGCATTTTCTATGTGAATAGGCTATTAAGGTTTTTCCTCTTTTGTTGTTCTAGTTGCTGTCCTGGGCTTGGCATTCTACAAGGACTAATGTCTTCCTAACAAGTTGCAGGGTAAATAAATGCCAGACTCATCGATGAATGTCAATCCAGTCTGTTGCTGAATGACCCTGTCTAGAGCAAATATCATTTTCTTCTTGAGTGAAAGTGTAGGGCTTGGCAGCTGTTTGTATACATGGATCAGATCTAACTCTACGTCTAGGCAGAGTGAGGGAGTGCTTCCTTTGATGGAGTGTGATTTGAATCACTGCTAATGGTTGCTCTCTACTCCCCTCTCAACCTGACCTCTAGACCTTGTACTTTCTGAAATTCTCATTTTATCCAACTCCTTTGGGAGGCCTTCTATCAAAATGTCTGTGGTGCCCGTATTTGGTATAGTGTTCCCATTATTTCTCCATCATGACGCATGGTCAAGTCCTCTGAATGTGAGTCAGTAAGTCTAGAAACTCTAGCGACTCTAACACGAGCCTGAAAGAAACTAGTGGCTGAGTCCATTACTAATCTAGTCACACAACACCGCCACCAGTCTTACGAAGATAAATATGACATTGATCACCAAGCCTGGAAAACTTCTGAGTTTAGAGGGGAGCACTATTAGTTATTAAGATGAGATATCAACAGATCATCTAATCTGGGAAGTTTCATTTGCCCAGTCAATCATGCTTTAATGATGTAGGAGCGTCATCTGTCTATGTGTTACTTTCATTGGTTAATAAAGAAACCGCCTTGGCTTTTGATAGGACAGCAGCTTAGATAGGTGGAGTAGACAAAACAGAATGCTGGGAAGAAGGCAATGAAGCAGTTGCCATGTTTCTTCTGCCCAAGATGGATGTGGGTTAAAATCTTTCCGGTAAGCCACGACCTCATGGTGCTACACACATTATTAGAAATGGGTTAATTAATATGTGAGAGTTAGCCAATAAGAGGCTACAGATAATGGACCAGGCAATGTTTAAAAGAATACAGTTTCCATGTAATTATTTCGGATGTAAATTAGCCGGGATCTGGGCGGGAACACAGCCCACTGCTCCTTTAACACTTTAATCAAAGCTAGTTTTTCCAAATAGCACCACTGAGACTGGAAGTCTGAGACAAGTACCTTTGTAGTCTGTTGGTTCTATCAGTCCATTTCTTTGTCTTCCATTTATTCCGTTATTATCACCCACAATTGTTTCCCCAACCTCCATTTCACAGACTGAAAGACAGATAAGAGCCAAAATGATGCTCGCCCACATCCCATGTTTCCAGCAGAAGTAAACCATCAGGTAGTACTTTGTCCATGTGGGACCTGGAGGATAAATGGTCAGTCTTTGAATTCCTTTTTGGTAAATTCCTTAACTGTTGTATCCCTCCCTTTTCTATACCTTCTCAGCGCACATTTTCCTTTCATGTCTGGAATTTTCTTCCTTTTCTCATATTCATTAATGTTTAAATATTCTCAATTTATTTTAATTTCTAAGGAATTTACTTTTTGCAGAAAATTTAATATATTCATTTCCCTAGGCAGTGTGTTCATATTTATACAATGGACTTCTAGAAGCATAATTATGTTAGAGCAACGAAGAAGTGATAAACATGGGAATTCAGGAACCTTGGAAACCAGGGTTGCTCATTTGAATAGAAGATACAGTATTCTAGTATAGTCTGGCTGGTATCAATCAGGCCTGTCTTTGTTAGGGCCTTCAAATTTGGATAAGTTATAATGTATTTTGACAAGACTACTGCCAACATCTTGGCGACATGCTCTACGGAATTGTGCCATAGTCTTAGATTTACTTGAATTTGAGATTAAGCAGTACAAAATCTTCTCTTAATGGTTAAACCTGATAAAAGAGTAAAAAAGTCAAATAATCCAGATTTGTGCCTGAACTGCTCCAGGCAGGAACATGAACTCACTTTAAAGTGGTTGAAGTCCAGAAATGATTGCCTTCTTTTGGGAGTAGAATTGCCTTTTGTCTGCTTGGGATGAGAAGGCATTGATTTCCCAGAGGATGGACAAGACCTATTAGATATAAAATTCCCAGTCATTCATTTTAGGAGCTTCCTCATGTAGATCTCTTTGAAAATAAGGTTTCAAACTTAAAGTGTATATACTCATTAGGAAATTAGTTTCAAAGGACAATTATAATTTTTTTTTTGGTCTTGCTTGTCACTACTATTAGTAGTAGGATGTCACTACTACTGTTGTATCCTAAACCAACAGGAAGATGAAAATTCAACAACTATTTTTTTTAGATATATGAGAAGAGTAAGATTCAGGGCAAATTACTCCTCCAATAATTGGAAAGACAAGAGTCATAATCTATAGGAGCAGAAACCTAAGAGCTGAAAGCTCTGTGGGAAACAGTGCCTGGGGTAGAAAAGTCTAACAATAATTGGCAAATTACTGGAGGCTTAGTGTAGGCAAGAATGAGAGTTGAAAATTCCAGAAAAACTTAATTATAGGGTACTTCTACAATTTGATGAGTTTTATCAGCATATAGCCTGTGTGGAGGAAAGTGAATATCCAATTTTAGCTGTCTTTTGCTATCCTATGCTGTGTAAAGGGGAACTCCTATGAAGCACTGGGAAAGTTCACTTTGGGGGGACAGAGATATTGCAAGACTGAGATCTGATCAGAACACTGCAGTGCTTCTCCTCTATATCATATAGCTCTGTTGCAAAAAAATCCTATTTATTATGGTTCTTTTTTACTATGTCCAACTTTTAACAACAGTAACAAAAAACATCGAGGCATACTGAGGGCAGAATATACATTTGAGGAAACTGAGAAATTAGCAGCACCGGATTCAGATATGTTAGGAATATTGAGAAATTCACCAGGAATTTAAAAGAAAGCTATGATTAATATATTAAAGGGTTTAGTGGAAAAGTACAGATTATGTAAGAACAGCTGGATAATATAAACAGAGAGTTGAAATTTTCTAGGGAGGAATGAACAAGTAATTGTGAGACAAAGAGTGTTTTCTAGTAAACTCATTCTCTGTAGTAGACTGGATCTTGCTCAGGAGAGTAGCTCTATACATAAGGTCATGACATTCAAAATTTCCAAAACAAGAAGGAAAAAGGGTAGAAGGAGGAAAGATAGGAGGAGAAAGAGGAGGAGAAGAAAGGGGAGGTGTGATTGTTTCATGGTAGGGTAACTATAGAAATAATATTGTACATTTCTTAAAAAAAATGGAAGTAGGATTTTTGAAGTTTTCACCATAAATAAATAACAATATTTAAATAGATATGTTTAGTGTAATTTGAATGCTAGACACTTTTAACAGATATACAATATTGCATAATAGCTTACTGAGATGTGCTGATGTTATGTATTAATTGTCAATGAAAATCACCTTTAAAAGAGAGTGAAAGATAAATATTTTATGTGATTAAGATGAGGGAATTTGGTGCCAATAGATGTGCTTTGCAGGAACTATTGAATAAATTTCTTGACAAGAAGGGAGATGTTGACTAAAATCTATGTAAATGGAAGGGCAAGACATCATAAAATGAGTAAGTAAAGACAAAATTATTCATTTTTAAAAGTTTCTTATTATTTATGGTGACATATACTAAATTGTTTAAAATAGTATTGATGATTTTATTCCATCATTTCTTTAGATATATACATATAAATGTATATAAAGATGTTATATATACTTGTGTGTGTATATATATGAGTACTTATGTATGTTTGTGTATAAGCCAAAAAATATTAGCAATAACACAAAGGAAAGAAGTAGGTTAGGAGCATGGTATCACTAATGAAATGGGATAGTGTTAGTTGAAGGTAAACTTGGTTTAGTTGTAATGTATATTTTAAACTGCACCAACCATGAAAATGCTTTCAAAAATTATAATTAATATGCTAAAAATGAAAGAAAATTGAACTATAACATACCCAATTAGATCCACAAGAAGAAAATGATCGAAGACAGAAATATAAAAATAAATGCAATAAGCATTATGGTGGTGATTAATTCAACTACAGAAATATCACCTGACATTTCAATGATATAAATATGCTAGTAAAATGGTAAAGATTATGAGAGTGGATCAAAAATTAAGACATCAGGTTACAGAGCGGAGAGAGTGAGGAGGCTGCGTCTGGCTCCCGCTCTCACAGCCATTGCAGTACATTGAGCTCCATAGAGACAGCGCCGGGGCAAGCGAGAGCCGGACGGGCACTGGGCGACTCTGTGCCTCGCGGACGAAAATCAACTAAACATGGGCAAAGGAGATCCTAAGAAGCCGAGAGGCAAAATGTCCTCGTATGCATTCTTTGTGCAAACTTGCCGGGAGGAACACAAGAAGAAGCACCCGGATGCTTCTGTCAACTTCTCAGAGTTCTCCAAGAAGTGCTCAGAAAGGTGGAAGACCATGTCTGCTAAAGAAAAGGGGAAATTTGAAGACATGGCCAAGGCTGACAAGGCTCGTTATGAAAGAGAAATGAAAACCTACATCCCCCCCAAAGGGGAGACCAAAAAGAAGTTCAAGGACCCCAATGCACCCAAGAGGCCCCCTTTGGCCTTCTTCTTGTTCTGTTCTGAGTATCGTCCCAAAATCAAAGGAGAACACCCTGGCTTATCCATTGGTGATGTTGCAAAGAAACTGGGAGAGATGTGGAACAACACTGCTGCAGATGACAAGCAGCCCTACGAAAAGAAGGCTGCCAAGCTGAAGGAGAAGTACGAAAAGGATATTGCTGCCTACAGAGCTAAAGGAAAACCCGATGCAGCGAAAAAGGGGGTGGTCAAGGCGGAAAAGAGCAAGAAAAAGAAGGAAGAGGAAGATGATGAGGAGGATGAAGAGGATGAAGAGGAGGAGGAAGAAGAGGAAGATGAAGATGAGGAAGAAGATGATGATGATGAATAAGTTGGTTCTAGCGCAGTTTTTTTTCTTGTCTATAAAGCATTTAACCCCCCTGTACACAACTCACTCCTTTTAAAGAAAAAAATTGAAATGTAAAAAAAAAAAATTAAGACATCACTATGCCACATTTTCTTTATCCATTCTTCGGTTGAGGGTTGTTTCCAGGTTCTGGCTGTTACAAATAATGCTGCTATGAACATAGTTGAGGACGTTTCCTTGTGGTATGATTGAGCATCTTTTGGGAATATGTCCAAGAGTGGTATTGCTGGGTCCTGAGGTAGACTGATTACCAATTTTCTGAGAAACTGCTTTCCAGAGTGGTTGTACAAGTTTGCATTCCCACCAGCAATGGAGGAGTGTTCCTCTTACTCCACATTCTCTCCAGCATAAGTTATCATTGGTGTTATTGATCTTAGGCATTCTGGCTGGTGTAAGATGGTATCTCAGAGTCATTTTGACTTGCATTTCCCTGATGTCTAAGGATGTTGAACATTTCCTTAAATGTCTTTGGGTCATTTGAGATTCTTCTATTGAGGATTCTCTGTTTAGTTCTGTACCCCATTTTTAAAATTGGATTATTTGGAATTTTAATGTCTAATTTTTCGAGTTCTTTATATATTTACACATTTGCATTTACACATTGGAGTACTACTCAGCAGTAAAAAAATTCACATCTTGAAATTTGCACATAAATGGATGGAATGAGAAAAAAACATCCTGAGTGAGGTAACCCAGACCCAGGAAGATGAACATGGCATGTATTCACTCATAAGTGGATACTAGCTGTAAAGCAAAGGATAATGAGCCTATAGTCCATGACCCTAGAGAAGCTAAGTAGCAAGGTGAACCCTAAAAAAAAACATATATAGATCCACCTGGAATGGGGAAGTAGAAAAGATCTCCTGACAAAATTGGGAGAATGGGAGTGAGGGGAGAAGGGAGGGCAGAAAAAAAGGAGGAGGGATAAGAGGAGGGGGAGGAGAACTTGAGGGACTAGGATAGTCGAGATCAAGGAAGGAAAGAGATTAGGGCAAGAAAAGAGATACTTTGATTGAGGGAGCCATTATGGGGCAAGCAAGAAATCTGACACTAGATAATTTCCCAGTAATCCACAAACATGACCACTGTTAAGACCCTAAGCAATAGAGGAGAGGGTATGCAAACTTGTCTTGCCATGTAGTCAGACTGAGAAATATTGTAAATGTTAGTATAGAACTTTCATCCAGTAACTGATGGAAATAGAGAAAGAGACCCACATTGGAGCACTGGGCTGAGCTTCCAAAGTCCGGTTGAAGAGTGGGAGGAATGAGAATATGAGCAAAGAGGTCAAGACCATGATGGGGACACCCCACTGAAAGTCTGTCTGAGCTAATGGGAACACACTAACTCCAGCCAGACATGGAAGGAACCAGCACAGGTCCAAACTAGTCCCTCCGAATGTGGGTGACAGTTGTATGGCTGGCACAGACTGAGGGGTCACTGGCAGTGGTACCAGAATTTATCCCTACTATTTTTATTGGCTTTTTGGGAACATATTCTCTTTGGATGGATACCTTGCTCAGCTTAGATGTAGTAGGGAGGGCTTTGGACCTTCCCTAAAACAATGTGCCTTACATTCTCTGAGGAGTGGATTGGGGGGGTGGTTTTGGAGGAGGGACTGCTTGTTGGTCCTGGCTGCCTGGCTAGCTTAGTCCCAAAAATAATCACACAGAAACTGTATTAATTAAATCACTGCTTGGTCCATTAGCTGTAGGTTCTTATTGGCTAACTCTTACATCTTAATTTAACCCATTTCTATCAATCTGTGTATCACCAAGTGGCAATGGCTTATCAGGAAAAATTCGGCATGTCTGACTCTGGTGTCAGATCCATGGCGTCTCCCTGACTCTGCCCTTCTTTCTCCCAGAATTCAGTCCAGTCTTCCCCGTCTACCTAAGTTCTGCCCTATCAACAGGCCAAGGCAGTTTCTTTTTCATTAATGGAAATCATAGCACACAGATGGGACTCCCAGATCAGGGTGGGGTGGGGGGATAGGTAGATGGATGGGAGAAACGGAGAGTGGGAACTGGGATTGGAATGTAAAATGAAATAAAGACAGTTTGTTTTCTTTTTAAAAAATAAAATAAAGTATAAAATATTTTTTTTAGAATAAAAACAGAAAAAACGAATTCTCTATGCATTCATTTTATGTATCCACTATAACTCATGGACATACACAGGTTAATAGTAAGTAGATGTAAAAAGTTAGAAGATAAAAATTGCTTTAAAGAGTTAGTTACGGGGCTGGAGAAATGGCTCGGCAGTTAAGAGCACTGACTACTCTTCCAGAGGTCCTGAATTCAATTCCCAGCAACCACATGGTGGCTCACAGGCATCTATAATGAGATCTGGTGCCCTCTTCTGGCATGCAAGCATACATGGAAGGAATGTTGTATATGTAATAAATAAATCTTTAAAAAAAAAAGAGTTAGTTACAAGTAAATGGAAGGGGGCTGTATCTTCGTGCTCTTCCAAAGTACAAAAGTTCAATTCTCAGCTTTCACATGGTAGCTCACAATCATCTGTAATCCAGTTCCTGGTAATCTAATTACCTCTTCTTGCATATGCTACACATATGTACACAAAGGCAAATACTCATGCACATAAAAATAAATATTTAAAAAAGTAAATGGATGGAGATGAATATATTATGAAAATGTCTATATAATGATATAAGACTCAATAATTCCCAAAGATATGACAATAGTTAATGTATGTGCTTAATGATAGAGACTTAAAATACAAAGACAACATTGATATAACTTAAAGGATAAATGGATATATTATCATCATTGCTGACTTTAGCAATCTTTTATCAGAAATAAATAGATCCACTAGGTCAAAATTAGTAAGGCCAATTTAACATCACTGTCATTGAATCATAAAATTGAGATCTACAGACCAGTTCATCTAACAACAGCCTAATTCATACTTGAATACATATGATACTTCAAGATAAACCATATTCTATACCACCAAACACAGCTTAACAAAGCCTTTAATTCCTGCACTTGAGAGAGAGAGTCAAGTATGAGGCCAGCCTAGTCTACAGAGTGAATTCTAGGACAGCCAGGTCTACAGAGAGAAATCATGTCTTGAAAAAAATGAAAACAAACAAAAGAACAAACGAACAAAAAAAAAAACTCACAGAAGCTAAAGAAGTAATACAGTGTCTACTTTGAGGACACGATGGAATTGTATGAAAGAAACCCATGACAGAAAAATAGGTAAAATTATTTTCCAAATACCCAAATGTTTGTATGCTAATATAAAATAAGTAAAATAAAACCAAAACAAAAACCCTAATACATGGAATTTACAGCTAAGCCTCTTACTCACATGTTAAAAATGGTCAGCCAAACCCCTGAATAGATGTTATTCCTAAGCGTTATTAAGTCAGTATATGACATTAAAATTAAAATATTGATTTTATAAAAGTAAAAAACTTTATGTTGCATAGTGAAAGCCAAAGCAGTATTTAGAGAGCCATTCATAGCACCAGGTTATTATTTCTAGAAAACAAGGAAGATCTAAGACTAAATATGACATCAGAAACAGAGTACCGCAATTGATTCCACAATGTGAGCAGAAGAAAAGATACTCTAAATATTGGAGTAAAATTCATTGAAATTGAAAATAAGAAATCAAAAACAAGTGAACACAAAAGCTGATTTTCAGATCAACAAAATCAGTACTATTCTAGCCAATATAATTAACAAAAAGTGAGAGAATATCAGAAATTAATATCAAAAATTAAAGATGCAGTATTACTGTTGAGCACAGACTTCCAAAGATAATAAAACAATACTATTGATCGTTCAACACCTGCCAATTTGATAATATAGATGAAATGGAGCAGTTACCTGCATGACTTAATCTGCTCAAATTCACAAAAAGAAAAAGGTAATCTGGTGCACTTGCCATCTACTGAACAACTGAGTCAATATCAATAACATGTTCAAGTAGAAAGCTCTGGCTCAGGTTGGTTCACTGGTGAATTTTACTAACATTTAAAGAAAAAATAAGGCCAACTCTTTATGATATTTTCAGATAACAGAGGAAGAGAAAGAAATGCATTTTCATTTCTTGAGGTCAGCAATCCCCATCATCAAAATTTGTCAAAGACTATGGGAATAGACTGTAATCCAGTCAGAGAGCTGGTACTGTCCAACAGCAAGATGGCTTGGAGAGCTGTATGTTGCATAGTATGGTCTTACTGGAAGAACAAACTTCTCTAATACAGCAGAGGACTGTTTGTGACATCCTTATACATAGCTGCCAAAGTTTGAAATTAAGCAATATGTCTTTTATCAAGCGAATAGCTAGATAATCTGTGTACATCCAAACTGAGAAATTATTTTTCAGCAGTAAAAAATGAGGTATCAAGCAATGAAAACATGGAGGAAAGTGCAATCCACATTAGTAAGTGGAAGAGGCCAATTTGAAAAGCTTATGTGCCTTATGAGTCCAATCGCACGACATTCCAGAATAGGAAAGGCGATGGAAATAGTACCAAGATCAGTGGTTTCTTGAGGGTGTTGTGTAGGGAAAATGAATAATTATAGAACAGAGGAATTTTAGGGTGGTGAAACTACTCTGGTACAAGATATTGATAATGGGGTATGGTGGGGAACAGTCAGTCTAAGAAAATGCTGTGTTATGACTCAGGTCTGATATTAATCTAAATACTGCTCTATAAAGTCTATTGGTTAAAAATTGAACTCATTCATTATTTAGGATTTGAGAATATGTACAACAGTAAAAATGAAAATTTCCCTTAATTCCTTTTGGTATTATTTCATAATAATACCAAACTAGTTAGTTTTTTATAATAATACCAGACAAGTTAGTCTCTCCTTCTTTCTCGTCATCCTCCTTCTCACTCTTTCCTTTTTAAAAAGCACAATACATGCATATGTGTATCATTGGCTTCATACAACAAAACTTGCTTTAATACTCATAGTATGTCATATATGGTCAAAGAGAATAGGCATCATAGCCTATTATGGGCCCAGGATGACAGAGAATC